TGGCTCCTGAGCCTCAGGGGCAGGGAATATGACATAGATGTCCCATTTGTATTCTGCAGACACATTCTCTGCACTTTGACCACAAACAGCACATTGCTTCTTCCTTTCTTTCTGTTTTGATTTTTCAAGACAAGGTGTCTATGCATACTCCTGTCTGCACTGGAACTCTCTGTGTAGACCACAGAGGTTCCTCTAACTCAGACATCTGCCTGTCTCTGCCTCCAGAATCCTGGGATGAAAGGCATGAGTCCCCAAGCTCATCCAACCATACATTTCTAATCAACGTATATGAAATAAAATAAATGGGATATGGATAAGCAATGATATGCACACCAAATGTAAAGCAAGAAAGGTCTAATACATCTCAGCAAGTATGAAATATGGAAGAGAAACAATAAAAAAATTCAACGGAAACAAAATCCTTTCCAAAGTTTTTTGATTTTCACAGGTCATTATACAGATTCAATAAAGAACAAAAAGAATAATACAACTATGTAATCAAAAATGAAAGAGAAGCCCCACAAGCCTTGTAAACTAGTGTAACTACAAGAGAATATTTCAAAATATTCTGAAAATTTCAAGTAAAAAATTTATAATACAAACAGCACCTGTTCATGGAAACCTGAACACCTGTAAACCAATCACATGAAGAAAGTTTACAAACATCTGAATAGAAAGGGATCACTTTAAAGACATTACCTCAGAAATTAGACATCCAGATCCTGTGCTAAGAACCTTCCAGTAAAAAAATTAGAGGATGGACAGTTCTGTTCTTGGAAAACTCAGCAGAGAAGACTGCTCAGACATTTTTTTTAAATTAATACTTACTTTTTTCCTGACTACAGTTTCCCCTCTGTGCTTCCTGCAGTACCTAACACCCCCACCAAATATGTTTAAGCCAATAGAAAGTCTTTATTAGCTGGCCCTGATTATTCGAAATGTTTGGAATCTCTGTGTAGAATGGAGTCTTTCCCAAGAAGAGCTTTTAAACACAAAACCCACGTTCTGTGTTGACATACTTTAGTTAACAGAAACAGTTAACCAGAAGCAGAACTACAAAAGCCAAAAAGCAAAGTTATTACAATTAGATACATTCTCAGAACTATGGACTTTGATGAATTAGATCTTTGTTTTCATTTTGGCTGGTAGTGTTGTCTAGGTGCTGAATTTAACAGCCTGAATAACACTTCCATCATGGAGTCAGTTGTGGTAAGGTCTGGGGAAAAGTTGTAGTTACCACTGACCTCTACTAAGCAAACAATCCTCAATTTCTGTTTCCTATGCTTAGTTGTTGCAGGTTTCCTTTAGTGATGCCTCAGATATATAAATAGTGCCCAACTACTCAATGATGGTAAATACTACCATTGACAATACCCATTCCCAGAAATCTGAACAACTGTAAGAAATAGGCAATCTTAAAGCTCTAATAGCTAACTTTAGTAGCACAGCATTAGAGCTTAAAATCCAGTGATCAGTCAGGCATGGTGGCATACAACCTTTAAGCCTAACGCTGGGAGGTAAAGGTAGGTGGATTTCTGTGAGTTCTATCCCAGCCTGGTGTACAGAGTGAGACCCTGCTTCAAAACACAAGGTGTTTCAACAGTGAACTACACACTCTACAATCTCCACACTTTCAGGATGTGTGAGTGTTAGTGTACTTGTTCAAAAGTGCCCATGTGGAGGTGAGAGGCAACAATTGTGAGTTTACTCTCCTTCCTCACAGCTTCTGGATGTGCACAGAGAAGCTTCTGTCAGCACAGTGGAGAGCATTGCTGACCCAGAACCTGCATCAGAGGGTGTGGACTCAGTAGTGACAGCTTCACAGGACCTTCCAGCTTTCACTGCCAGGTTGCCACTGCAGGGGCAGCCAGCCTGTCAGACAGAGAGAGATCCAAGTTCTCTCCCGCTCCAGTGTCCACATGGCCATAGCTGGACTACTTAGTGCATATCACATGAACTAATCTATAACAGTAATAATATTATAAACTACCATTTATGTTATAAAGTAGTTTGTTTCTATCATATATAGTCATATAAAATAACACATATTTCTATCTTTTATAGGCAGTGTAAAGAATGGCACCTTGTACAGGCTCCTGCTAGTCTGTCTCATAGACACAGGAGTAAAAACTTCACACTCTCACTAAAGAGATCTGGTTATTCTGTTTCTTGTGCTTGGTTTGGATGCATAACTCTGGTTTTTTTCCCAAATCAAATAATCAAGTAATTCCATGTTATGGGTAAATTGTCCAGACAAAACGTAGCCTGTGACTAACAAGGGCCACACTGCCCAGCACCAAGTGGAAAGACCTTGAAACACTGTGTCAGCAGCATGATGACTGATGTGCCTGGGGATAAAGGAAAGGGGTGGAGGCTGCACCAGATGAATTCTCATGACTTTCTCCGCAGCATCTTCACCTACAGCAAGGAAACACATCTTATGAAGGCTCTGAGGACAGCCTGGGTCAGTTCTCTTGGGTGACTGTATGAGTCATCAGCACCCCAACCGCTCTCCCCAAGGGTCATTCATTCCCTCCTTCTGTCTCTCCTGGGCTCTACATCCCTGGAACCTCTACTGTCCTCTTCCCTCCTTCCTCACATCCCAGAGTCAGTCCCAGGCCTTGCTGCAGAGCATGGGGGTGGGGGAAGGTTAATGTAGTAATGACTAGGTCTGCTCCCTGACCCAGGGCTTAAGGGAGAGGCTGGAGGAGCTTGGAGGATCCCTATCCAGAGAGGGGCCTGGGTCCCGGTTGTCTAGGCCTTGAGTGGGGTTCCAGACATCTTTCCCCCTTCATTCTAAAACTCTCAACATCTGAGTGTGGCACAGAGCTGTGTGACTGTCCCTGTCCCACCTTATCCATCAAGGCAGTCCAGGTGGGAGCAGTGGACTCCAGCAGCAGCTCAGTGCTACCTGCCTCCAGTGGGAACACTGCTCCAGCTGCTGCTGCTTTGTTTGTTTCTATGTTGTGTTTAGGAGTGTTAGCCTGCATGTTTGCAAGGGCGCTGTATGAATGCCATCTGTCTGTGGAGAAGGGGCTGGACCTCCTGAACCTGGAGTGGTTGTGAGCTGACATTTGGGTGTTTGGAATAAAACCTGGGTCAGCAAGTGTTCTTTCCCCTGGGCCATCTCCCAGATTCTATCTTCATTTTCTTGGTCTTTGGGATAGAATCCTCTTCCCTCTGCACATTAAAGGAACTACCATGGTCTTCTTACATGTTCCTGCTGGCCCCACATCTGCAGCGTGGGATCCTCATAGTTACAAATCTGCTCTGGTCAGGCACCTGCTGTCTTCCCTTGTTGTTTCCCCTGGTCTGTGACAAATTCCTTTCCTGCCAAGGCTGAGCATGCACAAGCTATTGCTAGCAGGTGACGTGAACTCTGACTCTCCTGCTTCCTTCCTCAGTAAGAATCTGCTGCTGAGGGACCAGAGCAGGACTCCTGGATCTCACTCACTCCTACTGCCTCAGTCCTCACCCACCTTACTCCACTTCCAACATTGTCCCCAGTACCTGTCTTGTCAAGGATTCTCCTCAGAAAATGTACAGACAGAAGCAGCTGAGTATTATCAGCAGAACAGAAGGGTTTCGAATGCATGCCCTGGATGGAGGCTGGTCCACATCTGGAGCAGTGCTTGGCAAGGCTAAAATGAAAACTCAAGTTGAGTCTTTGATCAGATCTCAAATCTGAGCAAATCTCACCTTAGCTTCTGGGTCATCAGGGAATTCAGCAACACAGAGACTTCCACCCCTTTACTGTACAACAGCTATTTGTGTTGGTCCTGAATAGGAAGGGACAGGGGATATCCCTGACCTCAACAGACTAATGTAGCGATGGTAAAGGAGCAGGGTAATGATGGGACCTCATCTCTCCTGCTGGCAGAAGAGAAGCTGACCTGTGAGGGGCATGAAGGGAAGAAGATAGATTGGGTGAGAAGAAGTCACCAGCGATTCTAGACTGAGGAGAAGGCAGGAAGTAGAAAGATGCTCAGTCTGTGAGAGCAGAAAGACCCTCAGTGAGTGACCAGTGTAAACACAGTTAGCGAGACAGGAGAGGATGAGGAGGGAAATGAGTGACAGAAAGAATGGCATTAACCCAATGACTCGCTCGTGGTAGAGATCTCTCTCTCTCTCTCTCTCTCTCTCTCTCTCTCTCTCTCTCTCTCTCTCTCTCTCTCTCTTGTACACACAGAGAGACACACACACTCACAGAAACACACCCATACACAGACACCTCATCTGCACAGAGCTTTCTCCCTGTCTTCCCAGTTACCTGTAGGCTCTGGACGTTTTTTCAAGGGCTTGAGCTTGTCAAGCCAGGTCCTGCAGTCCCTCTGTGTAGTCATGTTTAAGAAGGCAGCTACTTCCCTGTCTTTTATCAACATCTCTATTTCCTTGCTGAATGTAGAATCATCTTCATTCAGCTTTCCACTTCTTCTGTAAACATCGACCAGGTTACTTCCATTGACGCTAACGCTGCAGGATCCACTGAAACCTTTGTCTCCTTCATACTGGCAACACATCATATTCTGTGCAGTGAGAGGCTCTGTGCCCATTGGAAAGAGATCAGCCTCTGGTCTTCGTTAACCCTGTCTGCCTACTCACCCTCTCTTCCCATTCTCTGACCTTGCTCTTTCCTCTACATTTTACCCTTGCTGCTGGACCTCTTAGGTGGAACTAACAGTGATTCAGTTTTTTTCCTCGATGAAAAATGAATATCCCCAACCTGTTAAAATCCTGTTGTTTCCTTCAGGGGGCATGAGATAAATTCTTATACTTCTTTTGTAGAAATGGGGATGCAACTCAGGGCCCCATGCATGCTAGGCAATCTCTGTACCACTAAGCTACATCCCCAGCCCTGGGAAGCCATTTGCAACTTACTTCTGATTGCCTTATCTTGATTTAGAATGTTTCTCAGTAGCTTTTTCAACAAGTCAACTCCCTCCTTCAGAGTGTCTTTCTGTTTTCCACAGATCTCTGTTGCATTCAGTCTGTTCCCCAGAACACCAAGGACAGAGCACGTTTGATTGTTGTAGAGAAGAAAATGTTCTGTGTCCAGTTGGCCTTGCACTTCGTACCACCATGATGATGTAAGTGGTAGCCAGACAACAGTAAAGTTGTAGCAAAGAGAAGCAGCCTCTGTGAAGAACACATCCAATGAGGATGAGGAGCAAGGGACTCAGAGACAGTCTCTACCTATGGCACCAAGACAGTGAGTGATTCTGAAAATGTTTCTTTACGGGAGGTGGCTAATCCCTGACTGATCTAAGTAAAGCATGTTCATTCTCTCATTCTTGAAGATGCAGGTCAAGGTGTGCCCAGCACTGCTCTCCACCAGGACAATTCTCTTATCTTTTATTTTATGACCTTGCTTGAGGTAAGCCCTGTCAGTTATGGTAGTAAAAGTTCAGGATGTCTTTTCTGGATCTATTCCTTCTGGAGACTCTCCAGAAGCTACCCATGTAGACTCTGTGGCATCAGGATGGTGTGCAAGGATGCTGGATCATAGTGGAGCAGGGAAAGGATGGAACAGAAGTTGCACGGAGACAGTTTTTCTGATCTGTACTCTCAGGTCATAGAACTGAACATCTTTACTGAATAACTTTGTCAGTTTTATGCTGCCTACAGTCGCCTAAGAAGGGAACCTCTGCTGAGGGACTGTTTTAATAGTGAATAAAGTAAGAATCACCATCCTGATGTGGACATTACCATGTCGTGGGCAGGCAGCTTCTGGCAGGATAGGAAATTTATGTGTGAGCAACTGAGCCAGACAGCAACCAGCATCCTTCTCTGCTTCGTGTTATGCCTCCCCAGCTGGGAAGCAAGTTCTTTGGTCATAGCTAATGCTGTGTGGAATAGCATGTAAGCCTGCCTGGGATCCTGTCCTGACTTCCTTCCATGGTAGACTATGACTTAGAAGTAAAAGTCTAATCAACCAGTTTCTTCCTTAAGTTGCCTTTGGCCAGAGTGCATTATCACAGCAACAGAGTAAAACTAGAACAACCCAATGCCAGGTGTCCTGGACCTAATGCAGTGTTCCAGGGATGGCTTCCTAGAACTGGTCAGAGGATGGCCCTTGATACCAGAATTGTCAAATCTTGCAGTAAAAAAAAAAATAGTGATCAAAAATTTCCAAGATCCATGTACCCAGATAAATGTAACAGCCTGTATTTCTGTGGAAAGTGTGAAGAGTCTGTGCTGCTCTGTGGGATGCTGGAGACCCCTGTGGAGAAGGATATTAAGTATGACCAGGGAGAAGTGTCTCAGCATGGTGAGAAGCTCATGGTGATGCTAATAGCTCAAGGTTGGGCACGGTGGAAGGCATCTGTATCTCTAATTGGAATCCCAGCAGTTTGTTACTGATCAATTCCATCACATGCAGTGGTCAGGAGACAGTAACATCAAGGACAGTTGTCCACTTATGAGTAAAGTGGGCACAGTCCTGGAGCCTGACTGCTCAAAGGGGCCATGGCTAGCAGGACATAAAGATCCTAAATGCAGATGTGGATGGATTTTAAGAATTAAAGAGAAAGATAATCAAGGCTCAAAAACCTTTTGAGTCATGAAACCCTAGGCTCCTGTGCCCACGGTTTAAGCTGAACCATTGTGGTAAGAGGGGTGAAGTAGCGCTGAAGAGCACTTGTTGCTCTTGCGGAGGATCCAGGCTTGATTCTCAGCAGCAACACAAGGTCACTCACCACTGCCTGGAATTCACTTCTGCCCTCTTTTGGCCTCCAAGAGTACCAGGCACACATGTGCTGCACATACATACATTCAGTCAATATTTGTATACATTAAAAAAACCCGAAAAACCTTTCAAACTGAACCACCTCAGAGACAGACCCAGACTGACTTCCTAGGAGAGCAGATCAGGTACCAGCAAGGAGAGATTACTCATCCCCACAGCAGGTGACACCTTTCTCTGTGTATCAGTTCATTACTGGGCTGGCACTCAGAATGAACCCCGAGATGCTATTGTGAATGTCTAGTGTGGTGGTTTGAAGGACCTTGTCCTCCATACAGTAAGATATTTGCCCCAGTTACTGGCACGTGTTTGGATAACGTTACAGGGTGTGGCCTTGCTGAAGGAAGTACGTCCCTGGAGTGTCACTTTGAAAGCCATTCCCATCTCTTGATCTCTGGACCGAGCTTGGTGCTTAAGATGTGGGCTCCCAGCTGCACAGGGGATCATGGCTCTTATCCCAGCACTTAAGAGATAGAGTCAGATGGTTCTTTACAAGTTTGACGACAGCCTGGACTGCATAGTGAGTTCTAGGACAGCCAGAACTACACAGTGAGACTTTGTCTCCAAAACTAAACCAAACCAACCAAACCAAAAATATGTGGACCCTCAACTTGCTGCTTGAGCCACCATGTCTCCTGCCATGCTCCCCTGCTGTGAGGTGATGGACTCTTTATCCCTGAATAACTGTAACCCCAACCTTTCCTTCTTTTTTATACTATATAAGTATATATAATATTTTAATATTTATTTATTTATTTTATGTATATGAGTACACTGTCACTCTCTTCAGACATAGTAGAAAAGGGCATAGGATCCTATTATAGATGGTTGTAAGCCACCATGTGGTTGGTGGGAATTGAACTCAGGACCTCTAGAAGAGCAGTCAGTGCTCTTAACCATTGAACCATCTCTCCAACCCCAAACCCTTCCTTTTGTATGTTAACATGGTCATGTGTCTTATCACTGGAGTAGAAAGTAACTAATACTGTTATCATATAAGTACTGGAGTGTTTATAGGCCAGAAAATCTGTGTTACACCTGCTACTCTCTGTGTTTGGTGGTCGAAAGCAGCCAAAGAGAACCCACCTGTGAAAAGCAAGGCTGCACGTGTCTCACAGGACCCAGGCAATGTGTTAGCCTGAGGTGCCAGTGAGAGGAAATGTCCCTGGGTGAAGTTAATGGCTGTTCCTTATTGGAGAATCTCCTTGCTTTGGGAGAAGACACCCTGACCCTCCTGCAGCAGAGATAATGCACTCCATTTCAAAGTGACTTTTGGCAAGGGATTGGACTCTGGGAGAGAGCAGTCTCTGGTTGCAGGCTATCAGGAAAGGCACAAGGCCTCAGGGACACATCATGGGCAGAGCTCTTTCTCATTAGGGTATGAGGTAGACAAGTCAGAGTCAGATTGGATATCCAGAAATGTGGTATTGCTGCAGGAACATAAGAAGTCACTTGTGTGTTGAGAGCTCCCTATGAGGGAGAGACAAGAACTCTTGACTGCCAGAACATCTCCTGTTCCTCAGATAACTATAAATCTTATGTCATCTGTAGGAAGTGACTGAGGTCAGTTCTGAAGTAAGCTGCCACCTCTCCCTCAGTGAACACTTCAGTCTTCAAGGAGAGACTCCTATGTTCCATGGGAGCCTAGGAATCCATTGGACAGCAATGGAGAGATCAAGAGGCCTTAAATCCAGGACTTCTCCTGTCATTTCCAGCCAACCGAGAATCAGAGGCAGCACAGAACCCACTGTTGCCTGAGAAAGACGCAGCTTTCACAGTTCTCTTAAAGACACTCTGAGGGGATGGGCACCAGTACTGGTCCATGGGAAATACCCTAATCTGGGTTAGAGGACAAATCTGCTACTCAGTCATCAGCTTGTTGCCTTCTGCTGCTGTCACACCAAATGCAGAATTAAGTAGTTCATGCAGAGATACAGTGAGGCTTGCCTGATTGCAAACAAAATGTAGTGTCTTCTATTTACAAAGAAAAAAGAAGCCACTCCTGCCTAATGAACACCATTACAGATGCCACTTACTAAAAAGGTAGACTACATGGGCCTGGGATCAAAGGCAGAAGCTTCCACACGTCCCCACCCAGTACCATTGCCAGGGTCCTCCACAGAGGACAAGGCTTTCCAGCGCATAATTAGCTGAGGTCTCCTCAGGCATGAACACAGAATGCCCCCTGGTGGGCAATGGTCTAAAAGGCATTCTCTGGCTGAGAAAGTGGGGAAGGCCAGATGGGCAGGGAAGGGAGCTGAGCAGGCTGGTGGCTGATAAGCCATGTGGGCATTGAAGCTGAGCTGGTGTCACACACCTGTAATCGCAGCACTTGGTACCAAAGGGGAGAAGGGATTGTTTCAGATTCTAGTGTGGTGATAGTGTGAAGTCTTAAAACAATATAAGAAAAGAAGAAGCGGGGGGGGGGGGCCCAGAAAAACTAGTGAGACCAAGACTGGTTGTGGCTGCCATATCCATGGAAGCATCTACTGTGATATGCTGGAGAGGTGAAAAAGAAAGATCAAGGGCAAAGAGTACCCTGAATAGTGGAAGGCTTGTGAGTAATCCCTGGGGAAGGCAGTCTTCAAAGCATAGCATGTCTTAGCTCCAAGGGAACCTCCTGGTCATCTTGCACTGTGCCCAGCACATCCTGTCCTGGTGCCTGGGTTTTAGACTTCCTAAGGACCTCAGTGGTGCTGAGGGCATCACCAGGTGTTCCCTCCTGCCCCCTGCATTCTTCATCCATTTATCTGCGGCCCACCACCATCACACCGCATCCTTTCCTTCAACTTCCTCAATCTACTGAAGCCTGGGTGGCATAAACCCAGGGCTCTTAGTTGCTGTGATGTTGAAGGGAAGGAGGGAAGCCCAGGAACTTCTGATAGCCCAGAACTGTAAACTTCCTGACTTGAACCAGGTCTCTGTTGAGTGCCCCAACCACCCCCCTCCATGGAGACCCTGGGAACTCACCAGTCTGCAGCATGGTCCACTGACAGCTCAGTAGAATTAAAAACTTTAGAATCAGGGGATGATTGCACTTGGTGGTGGCTCCCTTTTCCATGGCTCTTCCTGAGACTGGGTTGCCTATAGTGTGACCAGAGCTGAGGTGAGAATTAGGAATTCCTCAGTACAGCCCCTCAGAGGACACAGCACAGAGAACTGCGAAAGTTTCAGGCTGTGAATTCAGGACTTCTCTTGCTTCAGCCAGGCTATCTCCTCCTTCCCCTTTTCCTACTTGTCTCTGCAGTTCCCTCGAGGACCTCGTGGCTCTGGTTCTCCCTCCCTCGGACCCCGGTCCCTGTCAAGTGATGGCATCTGGAGGGCTTGACTGTGAACTGAGCTGTGAGGATGATGTGATCTCTCCAGGACTTCCAAGCCCCGCGGTCCCTTCATCTCACTCACCAGCAGCTGCGCCCTCAGAGTTGATGGGGAACAGATTCAGGAAACACGGCATAAAGTCCTGTGCC